GATCGCAGCCCCCCAGGGATGGCGAGGTCTAATTTGAATCCGCCGCGGGTGCACACTGTGCTGGGCCCCCCAGCAGGCCTCGAACGTGGCGACAGTTTCACAGATCGCAGCCCCCCAGGGATGGCGAGGTCTAATTTGAATCTGCGGTGAATACCCACTGCGCTGGGCCCCCCAGCAGGCCTCGAAAGTGACGACAGTTTCGCAGATCGCAGCCCCCCAGGGATGGCGAGGTCTAATTTGAATCTGCGGTGAGTACCCACTGTGCTGGGCCCCCCAGCAGGCCTCGAAAGTGGCGACAGTTTCACAGATCGCAGCCCCCCAGGGATGGCGAGGTCCCAATTTGAATCCGCGCGTGGTGCACACTGTGCTGGGCCCCCCAGCAGGCCTCGAAAGTGGCGACAGTTTCACAGATCGCAGCCCCCCAGGGATGGCGAGGTCTAATTTGAATCCGCCACACTGTGCTGGGCCCCCCAGCAGGCCTCGAAAGTGGCGACAGTTTCGCAGATCGCAGCCCCCCAGGGATGGCGAGGTCTAATTTGAATCCGCCGCGGGTGCACACTGTGCTGGGCCCCCCAGCAGGCCTCGAAAGTGGCGACGGTTTCACAGATCGCAGCCCCCCAGGGATGGCGAGGTCAAAGGCAGGGGGGGAGAGAGGGACGGGAAAGAAGGAAGGAAGGTTCGCGCGAGCAGTGCTCTATTCAAAACGAGAACCCAACGCAGGAGGGTTGGGAATAATATAAACATGCACGGTCTTGGGATATCGGAGGCCTCGGTCGCCCGAGACGTCCTCGCAGAACGACCCCATGCCCCACGGCCGCCGCGCGGCGGCTCCCGAACCCCCACGGACGCAGCACGCGGTGTGGCCACCGCACACTCCTCGGGGGGCACCGAAAGAGGGGGGGGGGATAGCACAGGGTAGGGTGCATAGAGAATCAGCTCACGCAGCCGATTTTCCCAGCGCCTCCCGGCGCCAGGAGGCGCCCATGTATCGAGGAATTGGCCTAGCGGCGGGGCCGAAACCAGCTGCATGCAGCAGATGTCGTAACCCCCCCTTTTCCCTATCCCCCCCCGTTCGTCCGGCCCGAATCTCTAGGGGAACGAAGACTGACACAAATATAAAAACTCGAAGGTCCGCGATATCTGGGATCCGCGCTGGTACTCCCTCCCTGGCGAGCGGAGCGCGCCAGGGGCGGCGCCGGAGGCGCCGTTAGGGGGGTCCAGCGCGGATCCGAGAAATCCGCGCGGACCTCCGAGTTCTTATGTTTATGCCATTCTGCGCTCCCCTAAATGTAGGTCGGGCGTGTCCCCCTACAGGGGAGCTTTGGACGAACAACAAAAATTATATCATACACGCACACACCCACACATATATATATATATATATATATATATATATATATATATATATATATATATATATTCAAACATCTCCAACCAATTCCAACAAAATCGTCCCCAGACTACTCTTTGTCTATTCTTGCATCTTCCTTCTGTAGAGGGACGTGCCCGACCTGACCCTAACTTCGCGGGCCTCCGAAATGCTGATCCCCTCGTGCCTCGCCAGGAAGACCGCCGCAGGGATCTCGGGCCGCGCCGGGCAGCCGAGCCGCGGCCAGTCCCCACGGGAGACAAGGGAGAGACTCGGCCAGGCGAAACTCGGCCCGGCCAAACTCGGCCAGCTGACCTCGGCGGGGCTGAATCAGGGCTCGACCTCAGCGGTGTTTTTCGTGTTCGCTTTGTTTCTGTTTTCCCTCGGTTGTCTTCGCTCCTCCTGTGCTGCAAGACGGAATCAAAATGAAAAACGGTCCACAAAATCGCCAAAACACCGTTCATGTCGAGCCCTGAGCAGAACTCGGCCCAGGCCGAATTGAGCTTGGTGGAGGTCAGCCAGGCGAGCTCTAACATGACCTCAGCCTGGCCGAGTTCAGCTGGCCGGGCTCAGCCTGGCCGATGTTCTCCTGGCCGACTTTGGTTGCTGACCCAGATCGGGTCGGAGCAGATGGGGTCGGAGGAGTTCGCCGCACCGCCGATGCATCGGCGATGCGGCCCGATCTGGAGCCTGATGTTCTCAACGCTGGCGTCATCGACGCATCACAGACGCGGCTTTGTGGGTCCCCCCAGACCCCCCCGACGTTATGACTTGTTCATGCAGTCGACCCCTGGAGCTATCGACCCGTCGGCCGTTTCAGGAACGCCGGATCGTTTCACAATGAACCGGTTCTGGACCACGGGCGGCGTTCAACGTGAAACGCCCACCGCCCGCGCGCCGCGTCGGCGTCGTCGTCGTCGTCGTCGTCGTCGTCGTCGTCGTCGTCGTCGTCGTCGTCGTCGTCGGCACCGTCATCGCCGTCGTCGTCGCCGTCGCCGTCGCCGTCGCCGCCGCCGTCGTCGTCGTCGTCGTCGTCGTCGGCGTCGTCGTCGTCGTCGTCGTCGTCGACGTCGTCGTCGCCCGGGTCGCTGCGGGCCGACACGGCGCGAGCCTGCCGCGCACCGGTCCTGGGCCCAGGCTGTGCTCGGCCAGGGGCGGTGGCGTGTCCTGGAGGCCGCCCCTACCTTGCCGTCGCTCGGACGTCCATTTCCCGTGCATTTTTCGGTTTCGTGCGTGTTTTGTTTTGCTTGATGGTCCAGGATGGTCCTCGATGGTTTTCGCCGAGAAAAAATGCACACGTCCGAGCGATGCCAGGATACGGGGGTCCGAGTGGACGGCGTCCAAGGCTCGCGCCGCGTCCCCGATGCATCGCGGATGCATCGGCAGTTCAGCGGCATCGGCAGTGCCTCGGCGCCGCGTCGGCGACGCATCGGCGAGGAGCACGTCGGGCTCCACGTCGGGCCGCATCGCCGATGCGTCGGCAATGCGGCGGAAGCATCTCCGACCCCATGTGAATCGGCATGCGTCGCAAGTTGCTTTTTCGAAGAGCCAGCGGCGTGGCACGGCCTCCACTCCACACAGCGCCCGGGCCGCCACTGCGTGGCGGGAAGTCTCGGGGCAGACTGGCACCTCCTGAGACGCGCGCTTGGCCCGCGCAGGCGCTGTGTTTGCCCCATCTGGGAGGCCTGGGCGTCGGCACAGGCCGGGCGGCGTCGGGGGCGTCCTCCTCCTCCTCCTCCTCCTCCCTCCTCCTCCTCCATCGGGAGCGGCCAAGAGGGGGGGGGGGGGGGGGGGGCGCAAGTCATGGCCCGAGGCACGGGCGCGGCCCAGGGGGATCCGGGGGACGCACTGGGAGAAGGAGAGGGGGCTATGAGATCTGGGAGATCGCGTGACCCCGGCCATGATATCTCCAAACCACCCCCGGTAGAGGAATGAACTGGGTGAGCAAAAAACCCTTGAGGGTCCGCGAGGGTTTCTTGGATCTGCGCTGCAACCCCCTCCCTGGCGGTCGGAGCGCGCCAGGGGTGGCGCTGGAGGCGCTGCCAGGGGTGCCAGCGCAAATCCAAGGAGCCTTTTCCCCCTCTCGATCTCAAAGTCACCCCCCTCTTGGCCGCCCCCGACGTCTGGGAGGCCTCAAGCATGGGGGAAGCGGGTCCTGAGGGAAACGGTCCTGGACCTTTGGGCTTTCCACCGGGACCAGTTCTTGATCCTGAGCCGTTTTCTCCTCCTCCTCCTCCTCCTCCTCCTCGACCTCGTCCTCTCCCCCATCCTTCTCCTTCTCCTCCTCCTTCTCCCTCTCCTCCTTCTCCTTCTCCTTCTGGCAGTCCTGTGGAGGGCCCCGGGGAGGCCAAACAGGGCGAACAAAAAACTTCAGGGCCCGTTTGCCTCAGGACCCGCTTCCCCCCTGGCCACTCCCAAGCCCCTGCAATCGGGGTGCTTGTAAACGGGGTGGCAGCTGAGGGTGTGTTTTCAAGTGTGCCTTCAGAAATTTTACTTGCCGCGCACGCGTGCGAGGAAGTCCCCCGGCCAAGAGTTCTGATGATGTGTCGGCGATTTTGTCGTCCTGGGTCATCGCGCACCAGTGCGAGGTAAATGCCCTGTCGCCCTGAACTCGCTCGTAGAAGCCCCTTGGCTACCACCCCGTGTGCTAACGCCCCGTTTGCAGGGGCCTGGGCTCTGGCGCCCCGCTGCGCCTCGTCGGCGCGAGCGAGGTTCGCTGGGCGGAGGCTGGCCGCTGGCTCGGGCGGCCCGTGGCGCCCCCGAGGGCTCGGGCGTCGGTGCGGTCGCAGCGGGGGCCGGCGTGGCCACACTCGAAGGGTGCCCACAAGCCTGGCGAGGGCCGTCGTTCTGGCCGACGCAGCCACACAGGGAGCCCATCTCCGCAAGCCTGCAGTCATCAGCGGCATCACCGAGCCCGGGCCGCGCGCCGCGCCATGGCGGCTCGCCCGCGCTGCGCGGCCACAGCCCGATTGGCGAGGGCAGGCGCCGCCAGCAAGGCGGCAACGCTGGGCGTCCTAGCGCCGAAGGCCGCCTGCTCCGAGTCATGGTGAGGGCAGTGGATACGGAACCCTTGGATGAGGGGTCCACGGTCTGGAAGTTTCTGGAACACCAGTTAAGGCGTGGCCATGGATACCACAGGCGTCCTCATCAGGTGAGGGATCCTCAAGGCTCTGATGCCTACTGGGCGCATTCCTTCACGAACGCCCCCACCATATGGCTGTGAGGTGATGATGGTGTTTGTTCACAGCTTCGGGGCTCAGGGGGTGGGATGGCTTCGAGGGTGTGCAGACGACAGACGATGGTGATGGTGATGATGATGATGACGATGGTGATGGTGATGCTGATGATGCTGGCGATGACGATGATGATGATACCGACAATGACGACAAGGATGATGACTCAGAGGAACCGTAAAAGGGGGAGAAGAGGCAATGTGGGGAAGATAGTAATATGCCAGGAAGGATGGGGATACCAACACAGAATGAACGATGACGAGGAAGATGCGGATGGAGACTGATGAGCATGGTGACGACGACCAAGGTGATGATCATGATTACGAGGGGCGAGGGGAGGAGCTGAAGGAGGTGGAAAAGGATAAACAAATCAAGGGGGAAGAACAACGGACACGGGCCTTGGCGATAATGCTGTCCTCCCACCAGTCGTCTAGCCCGCGGAACATTATGGTATGTATGTCTATAGCAACACCTCCGTGTTGGGCCAGGATGGCGTTGATAGCGGTGTCCTTCTGGTATCGCGGCTTGAGAGAGTCCCAATCAGCGGGTAGAGCCTCCTTGGATATGTGCTGGAATACGTCGGCCTTGTCGAGGAGAAGGCAAGCACAAGAAGTGGATCAGTGAGTGCTAAAGAGAATGACGATGATGACAATGACGATGGTTATGGTGAAGATGGTGATCGGACACTACCTCAGTCATGGCACGCTGCGTCGTAACGCCAACTCGAGGATAAAGAGGACAACAATATGATGGCCAAACCTCTTGCAAAAGTGCACACTGCGCATCCTGTCGGGTGCGCAAGATTCTTGCGCGCAAGGAGGCTCCGCAGCTAGAGACCTCTGCAACCGCAGCGTCCGATTGGCCACTCTGTGTCGTGAGTAGCTGGATGAGTCTGTGAAGAGCGTGTGCGTCCCGCACGTCGCACACGCAGCGAGCTCGCCTGCGACATACATGCGAAGGCTGCGTGCCGCCTCTGGCGGGATCGCGCCCGAGGCTGGAAGCTCCACTGCGAGCGGCTTGGCATCGCTAGGGGAACAAAAAGTTACATAAACATGAAAAACTCAGAGGTCCGCGCGGATTTCTCGGATCGGCGCCAGGGGCGGCGCCGGAGGCGCCGCCGGGGGGCCCCAGCGCCGAGCCGAGAAATCCGCGCGGACCTCCGAGTTTTTGTGTTTATGCCACTTTTTGTTCCCCTAACCGCCTGCCCGCGCCATCCCGCCCCGAGCCCGTCGCCGCGCATGGATGGGGGGCAGTCGGCGCCGCCGCGGCGCTTGGCTGGCACGTCCTGGCAGACCTGGGGGAGGTCCTGCGCTCCGTGCCGAGAGCGACCGCGGCGCGCGCCTGGTCGGGGCGGATCCGTCGCGGCCGGCGTCGGCGCCGGTGCCGGGCGCGACAGGTCTGCCGATCAAGCGACGCCTGACACCAGCAAAACATATGGCGCATCTCTTGGGGGGGGCATCTTTTGCTTCCGCCGCCTTCCGCCCAACTTCCGTCGGGAGATCGACCCTCGAGCTGCTTCCGTCACCCTCCGCAGCCCTTCCGCCGAGGGAGAGAGGCCAACTCCTTCGGTCCTCGAAGGCGAAGCCTTTTCTGGAACACCTCATGCCATGCCCTCGTTCGACATCCAGCTGCGATGGCCCCGGCGGCGGCCCTTCCAGAGCACCCCGGATAACCGCGAACGAGATGACACAATGAAGACGCCTGGGGCGAGGGGGGTAGGGAGGGGAGGGCGGGAAGGAGGAGGAGGAGGAGGAGGAGGAGGAGGAGGAGGAGGAGGAGGAGGAGGAGGAGGAGGAGGAGGAGGAGGAGGAGGAGGAGGAGGAGGAGGAGGAGGAGGAGGAGGAGGAGGAGGAGGAGGAGGAGGAGGAGGAGGAGGAGGAGGAGGATGAGGAGGAGGAGGGAGGAGGAGGAGGAGGAGGAGGAGGAGGAGGAGGAGGAGGAGGAGGAGGAGGAGGAGGAGGAGGAGGAGGAGGAGGAGAGGAGGAGGAGGAGGAGGAGGAGGAGGAGGAGGAGGAGGAGGAGGAGGAGGAGGAGGAGGAGGAGGAGGAGGAGGAGGAGGAGGAGGACGAGGAGGAGGAGGAGGAGGAGGAGGAGGAGGAGGAGGAGGAGGAGGAGGAGCAGGAAGGAGACAAGGAAGCATCCCACCTCGAGAGCTGCCGGGCGCCCTGGGCGCGTCCCAACCTCACGGGGCTGCGCCCGCGGGCCACCTCAGCATGCCAGAGCCCTGGCGCCCAGAACTGGGCCGAGGGCTCACGAAGAAGCTCGAGGCCCTAGGAAGCGGCGCGCTCGCTGCGCCCGCGGGCGAGTGCCCCGCCCTGCGAACCTCGGGGAGGGCGGGCGCGGAATGGTCGCCCCGGGGTCCGTGGAGGAAAAGCGCGGTGGGCAGCGATGCCCCGCCTTACAAGAATCGGCGCGAGGGACTGTTTCTTTTCAGAGTCTGGCGATGACCAAGGTTATCGGGCACGCCCGCCCTACCCCACCCCTGGATAGCCTGACCTTGTCGGCCGCGCAGGTCCGAAGGGTGTACGCAGTGCTGTGGCGCGCGGGCATACATGGGGCCGCCCTTACGACAAGGTTAAAGTATCGGCTGGCACCTTCCCCCCCACCATAAGGGAAACGGAAGAGGAGAAGGAGGAGGAGAAGGAAGAGGAGGAGGAGGAGGAGGAGGAGGAGGAGGAGGAGGAGGAGGAGGAGGAGGAGGAGGAGGAGGAGGAGGAGGAGGAGGAGGAGACAAGGAGGCATCCCACCTCGAGAGCTGCCGGGCGCCCTGGGCGCGTCCCAACCTCACGGGGCTGCGCCAGCGGGCCACCGGGCCACTCCCCGGAGGGGGAGGGGAGAGCGAGGACGAGAAAGAGGATAATGATGAGGAAGAGGGGGAGGATGATGAGGGGCTAGAAGGTTGGGAAGCACATGACGACGGATAAAATAAGCAGACGGATGACGATGAGAGAGAAGGGGGGAGTGAGGACGAGGCGGGAGGAGGACTAGAAGGAACGAGGAGCGCCGGAAGCAGGGAACGGAACAAGTCGACGAGGAGGGACAAAAACGGGGAGGGAGCAGAAGCAGACACAGATGCGAAAGGGGTCCGGGGGGCAGAAGACGATGACTCGGGACTGGCGGCCGAGTTCGCAAGGGGCCTCGGCGGAACCCACGGGGTTGACCCGTAGGGCCGACACTATACCGAAATCAAAAGGTCGGGGCGGGGGCGGGCGCTGGCTGGCTGGTGGGCGAGGAGGGGCTGGCTGTGGGGGGAGGGGGGGGCGGCCTCGGTGCTGTGCCGCAACAAAACATCGGGGCGGAGGCGCGCTGGCTGGCGGGTGGGGGAGAGCTAACTGCTGGCTGTGGGGGGAGGGGGCGGCGCAGCGCCAGCGCCGCGCCGAACTGCAGCGGTCGGGGCCTTGGGGGGGAGCGCGCTGGCTTGTGGGCGGGGAGGAGCTTGGCTGGCTATGGAGGGGGGCGGGGTCGGCGCGGCCCCAGTGGCGCGAAAAAGCGGGCTGGCTGGCGGGCGAGGAGGGGCCAGGCTGGCCGTGGGGGCGCAAAGGGGAGGGCGCGGTGCCCGTGCCGTGCCGACATGCAGAGGGCCGGGCGGATGGGGCGCACTGGCTGGTGGGCGAGGAGGAGCTGGGCTGGCCGTGGGGCCGTGCGGGAGCAAGGGGCGCGGCGCCGGTGCCATGCTGAAGCAAAAGGGCGGGGGGGCGCAGGGGGCGCGCTGGCTGGCTGTGGTGGTGGGGGGTGGCGACTGGCTGCGGAAATGGGGGTGGGCGCGGACGCGGCGCCGGCGCCGTGCCGAAGTAAAGGGGTCGGGCTGGAGGGGGCGCGCAGGCTCGGGGGAGGGGGAGGTAGGCTGGCTGCGGAGGGGGAGCGGGGGGGCGGGCGCGGCGCCAGCCGTGCCAACAAAAGGGTCGGGGCGGAGGGGGCGCGCTTGCTGGCGGGGGAGGAGCAAGCGGGCTGGCTGCGGAGGGGGAAGTGGAGTGGGCGCGGCGCTGGTGCCGTGCCAGAATGAAAGGTCGGGGCGGAGGGTGCGCACTGGCTGGTGGACAAGGAAGAGCTGGGCTGGCTGTGGGTTTGGAACAGGGCGGGCGCTGCGCTGGTGCCGGGCCGAAATGAAGGGGGGTCGGGGCTGGGGGAGCGGCTGGCTGACGGGGGAGGGGGGTGTGAGCTAGCTGCGGGAGGCGAAGGGGGAAGTGGTGACGAGCCGCGTGAAACGGGTCGGGGCGGAGAAGGCGCGCTGGCGGCTGCGGAGGAAGCCGGGAGGAGGACCGGTGCCTTGCCAAAAGAAGGGTCGGGGCGGAGGGGGCGCGCTGGCTGGCGAGGAATGGGGGGATGGAGATGGGCTGGCTGCAAAGGGATTCCGAGGGCGGACCTGTGCCGTGCCGACATAAAGGGGTCGGGGCGGAGGGGGCGCGCTGGCGGTTGCGGAGAAGGGCGAAAGGGGGGACCAGTGCCCTCCCGAAATACAGGGCTCGGAGCTCTAGACACACTGTGCAAGATAATAAAAAAGCAACTATCTCCAGCGCGTTCTACGTGACGAACGGCTACCGCACCCCCGTGGTGCCAGTAATCAAGCCGCCTGGCGAGCATGACGGGTGCCAATATGCGCGATGGCCTGGAGGTCTCGGTGTCAGTCTGGCCTCATCCGCCGCCGACCCCCCCCTCCTCCAAGGACTCTCGATGGCATAGCCGCGAGGAGAGGCTCACGGTCGCATGTAAGGAGACTGAACAGGGGCGTCCTATCCTCAAAAGGAGCATGGTGAGGTTAGCATTGGCGCTGGCAGATGATGATGAGGATGATGATGGTGGTGCTGAGTGGTGAGGCTCCAAGCTTTGACGGCGGTCATGATGGGCACAGAGGAGCCGAGGCCACGAACCCAACGGACAAAACGTCCACGGCTGGACCAGCCGCCCGCCCGACCACCTGGAGGGCGAGCGCCCAATATCCTGCCAGAAACTAGCGCGCCCATCCCACCACGACGCAATGGTGGAGTGGGATCCGGCTGCAGCCTGATGATGATGATGATGATGATGATGATGATGATGATGATGATGATGATGATGATGATGATGATGATGCTCATGATGATGATGATGACGATGCTGCTGCTGATGATGATGATGCTGATGCTGATGCTGATGCTGCTGATGATGATGCTGATGATGATGATGATGATGATGATGATGATGATGATGATGATGATGATGGAGCTGCTGATGACGATCGTGGCGGGGCAGGGGTCGCACCAACAAATTTGTATCAAAGATGGTGCTGGCCTTGCTGACCAGCCGGAAGTCGAAGCGCCCCTTGTTACCTTCCAGCGTTTCCCTGCAGAGGGTCTGGAAGTTCGCGGACCGACTGGTGGTCAATGGCGTGTGAAACCTTTTTTCTGTTCTTCCCTGTGGTTGAGTTCGCCTCGTATTCATCCACCATACCCAACCACATGTGTCGATTAACAGTGGGCGCTCCACGGGTGCCTAGTGGTCATGTGTACTGAAAGTTATCTCTTCTAGCCATGACGCAAGACAATCATGTGTCGCTGGGTCTGGTGCGTACTGGCGTCGGCGTGTGAGAAACTGTTTCCTTCCTCCTCTTAACCTCCTCGCCAGACTCGGCTATCGGTCTGAGCTTGCCAGGACAATACGCACCGGCGGAGAAGAAATCCTTTTGCGGGGGACTCTGGTGCACCGTCAGGCTAAGAGCTCAATAAATCCACGTCCGAACTCAAAAACAGATAGACTCCGGGTTGGGACGCGTGGTATATGTTGCCCGTGGCGTGCAGCATGGCAGCCCTTGATGGGCCTGTTTTCCACCACCACCACCACCATATGTTAGAGGGGGGAAGGAGGAGGATGAGGACAACGAGGAGGAGGAGGAGGACGAAGAGGAGGAGGAGGAGAAGGATGGAGGGGGAGGAGGGGAAAGATCCCCTCCCCCTTCAATTTATGGTGGTGGTGGTGGTGGAAAACAAGCCCATCAGCCCTGGGCTGTACCGTTCTGCGCTTGAGCACTCCACTTTCGCAATATCAGCGTACGAAATGTGCCACGGGAGGCGCTCCTACTGGGATCGGGGCGCGTGTCCGCAACCGTGCACCCTGGCGCGTTGACGCGCGGTGGCTTGCCAGGTGCTGCCTGGCAAGGGGTCCGTGCTCTTCGGAAGGACGCACCCCCCTCCAGGCCGCATCCAGGTGCGTGCATCGCCCGCCCCTCTCCCGAGGCTCCCTTGGCGGCCCGACGCCACTCTTGAGGTCTCCAAAGCGCCCACGATGTGCAAGATGACTTCCAAGACGGCCCAGGCAGGCCACCAGGGCCGCCAACATGGCCCAAGATGCCTCCACAGAGGCCCAATATGGCCCCGAGATAGCCCACGGTGGCCGCAAGACTGCCCAAAAGGTCCTCAAGCCAGGCCAAGAGGTCTCCAAGAGAACCTCCAGAGGGGCCCCAAGAGGCGAACAGCATGTATTTCCCTTCTGATGTGGCCTGATTTTGTAGTTTCGTCTTTTTTGGCTTTCGTGGCGAAACGTCGAACAAGCTTCCAAGATGGCCCCGCGACGGCCCAAGAGAGCCTCAAGGTAGCCCAAGAGGCCACCAGTACGGCCTCAAGATTGCCCATTAGGTTTCTAAGACGTCCCCAGGACGGCCCAAGGAGGCCCCAACACGGCCTCAACAAAAACCCAAGAACGGCCCCAAGACGGCACAAGAGCGTGCTCAGACGGCCCAAGGAGCCCCCGATCGCCTCCAAGGCGCCCCCAGGGCGCCCCCAAGAGGCCTCAATAGGCCGCCAAGACGCCCCCAGGAAGTCCCCACGGGCCCTCCTCCTCCTCCTCCTCCTCCGAAGTTTTATGAATAATTCCTCCCTGTCGCACCCCGGGGCCGGTCGGAAGGGCGGGTAGGGCGTTTCGCGTGAGACTTCCTCACCATCGATGAGCATGAGGCTCAGAAACTAGACCCAGTTCCACAGATGGAGGCTGGGCCGCTTCTGAAATGTAGCTCACGCTGTAGCGCTGCGCACTTTGAACAGCAAGAATGCAAGAGCCTCATGTCTGCTGGGCGGGTTGTTTTCAAAATGTGGCGGGCTCCACCGCGCCGCGCACGCTCGGTCTTAACGTGTTGCAAGACGTGTGCGGGCTCTCATGGTCAACCTTCCCGAACTGGTGTTTTCGAACTGTTCAGGATGGACAGGGCGCAACAATTACGTTCATTCGCGGTGTTGAGGTCCCAGGAGCGGTGTCCTGGCACAGTCCAGGATCAGCAAGACACAACAGTCAGTTTGACTCGTGGCGTTGAAGTCCTGCGAACGGTGTTTCTGCACACTTCAGGGTTTTCGCACCAACGGGGCACTTCCCCCAGTGGAAACAAATGGCACGCGTGCCCTGGCTCTTGCACTAAGGAGCCGCGAGAGACAGGAGGGTTTCGCCTCCTCCTCCAGGAGTTTATTTTTGTGGCCGCCGGGGGGAGGACGAACGACGAACGAACGACGACGACGAGCGAAAAAAAATAGGTCCGAGCTCTAGAACACAGCTGCGCAAGATAACAAAGGGTCCAGGGCGAGGGGGACTGGGGCCAGGGCTGGGGGGGGGAGGCTGGGTCCAGAGCCAGGGCCAGCGGGGCAAGGGGGGCGGGGGGCCAGGGCCAGGGGAGGAGACAGGGTCCAGGGCCAGGACCAGAGGGACGACGACAAACGAAAATAAAGGGTTCAGGGCGAGGGGAACTGGGGACAGGGCCGGCGGGGGGGAGGCTGGGTCCAGGCCCTGGGCCAGCGGGGCAAGGGGAGCTGGGGCCAGGACCAGGGGGGGAGGTTGGGTCCAGGGTCAGGACCGGACCAGGGACCCAGCGGGGCGAGGGGGGTTCCACGGGGCCAGGACCAGGGGGGGAGGTTGGGTCCAGGGCCAGAGTCGGACCAGGGACGACGAACGAAAACAAAGGGTCTAGCAAGGGGGGGAGTTGGGTCCAGGGCCAGGACCGGACCAGCTGCCAGGGACGACGACGAGCGAAAATAAAGGGTTGCCAGGGCGAGGTGGGCTGGGGCCAGGGCCGGGGGGGAGGCTGGGCCAGGGCCAGGGTCAGCGGGGCGACGGGGGCTGGGGCCAGGGCCAGGTGGGGAGGTTGGGTCCAGGGCCGGGACCAGAGGGACAACGACAAACGAAAATAAAGGGTCCAGGGCGAGGGGGACTGGGGCCAGGGCCGGGTGGGGGGGAGGCTGGGTCCACGGCCAGGGCCAGCGGGGCGAGGGGGGCTGAGGCCAGGACGGGGTGGGGAGGTTGGGTCCAGGGTCGGGACCAGACCAGGGGCCGGGGACGACGACGAACGAATGAAAATAAAGAGGTCCGAGCTCTAGAACACAGCTGTGCAAGAAAATAAAGTGGTCGGGGCGAAGGGGGCGGCGCGCTGGGCTGCTGGGGAGAGGGGGATGGGGGGGGGGGGCGTCGACGACGCCGAAATGAACTGAAGTGGTCGGGGATCGGAGAGGCGTGCGCGCTCGCCCTGCTGGGAAAAAATGGGACAGGGGGGGGGCGACGGGACCTCGAGTCGCCCGAAATAAAGTGGTCGGGGCGGAGGGTTGGCAGCGCGCTGGGCTGCTTGAGGAAGAGGGAGAGGGGGGGGGGCGGGACGACGACGCCGAATAAAGTCGTGGGGCGGAGGGGCGGTTTTGCGCTGGGGTGCTGGGGAAGCGACACGTAGCGACAAATGTCGTCACAACGCCGGAAATTAATTTTTTTTTAGGGCGACAACGACGCCAAAAATAAACCGGTCGGGGCGGAGTAGGGCGGATATGCGGCTGCGGTGCCTGGGGAAAGCGTACAAACTGGGGGTTTCATGTCGAAGATATTAGGGACGACGCGCCGAACAAAGTGGTTCGGGGGGAGAGGGCGGTGCGAGGGGCTAGCTGGGGAAAAGGGGGGGGGGGGGGGGGAGGGGGGGGGGTGGAACCGGGGGGGGGGCGACGACGTCGCCGAAATAAAATGGTCGGGGCAGAGGGGGCAGCGCGCTGGGCTTGCTGAGGAGGAGGTTGAGGGGCGGGGGCGACGGCGGACGCGGAAATAAAGTCGTCGGGGGTGAGGGGGCGTCGGGGGTGGTGAGTGCGGATGCGCTGGGGCTGCTGGGGGAAAAAGGACCCGGGGGCGAGGGGGCGACGACGTCGCCGAAATAAAATGGTCGGGGCAGAGGGGGCAGCGCGCTGGGCTGCTGAGGAGAGGGAGAGGGGCGGGGGCGACGACGACGCCGAAATAAAGTGGTCGGGGCGGAGGGGGCGGTGCGCTGGGGTGCTGGGGAGGACGAACGACGAACGAACGACGACGACGAGCGAAAAAAAATAGGTCCGAGCTCTAGAACACAGCTGCGCAAGATAACAAAGGGTCCAGGGCGAGGGGGACTGGGGCCAGGGCTGGGGGGGGGAGGCTGGGTCCAGAGCCAGGGCCAGCGGGGCAAGGGGGGCGGGGGGCCAGGGCCAGGGGAGGAGACAGGGTCCAGGGCCAGGACCAGAGGGACGACGACAAACGAAAATAAAGGGTTCAGGGCGAGGGGAACTGGGGACAGGGCCGGCGGGGGGGTGGCTGGGTCCAGGCCTTGGGCCAGCGGGGCAAGGGGAGCTGGGGCCCAGGACCAGGGGGGGGAGGATGGGTTCCAGGGTCAGGACCGGACCAGGGACCCAGCGGGGCGAGGGGGGCTCCACGGGGCCAGGACCAGGTGGGGGGGTTGGGTCCAGGGCCAGAGTCGGACCAGGAACGACGAGCGAAAACAAAGGGTCCAGCAAGGGGGGGGGTTGGGTCCAGGGCCAGGACAGGACCAGCTGCCTCCGACGACGACGAGCGAAAATAAAGGGTTGCCAGGGCGAGGTGGGCTGGGGCCAGGGCCGGGGGGGAGGCTGGGTCCAGGGCCAGGGTCAGCGGGGCGACGAGGGGGGCTGGGGCCAGGGCCAGGTGGGGAGTTGGGGTTCCTGGGCCGGGACCAGAGGACAACGACAACGAAAATAAAGGGGTCAGGGCGAGGGGGACTGGGGGGGGGGGCCCCCCCCCAGGGGGGCCGAGGTTGGGGGGGATGGCTGGGTCCACGGGCAGGCCAGCGGGGCAGAGGGGGGCTGAGGCCAGGGCCGGGTGTTGGGGATGGTTGGGTCCGGGGTCGGGACCGACAAGGGGCGGGGCCGACGACGACCGAATGAAAATAAAGAGGTCCGAGCTCTAGAGCACAGCTGTGCAAGAGAATAAAGTGGTCGGGGCGGAGAGGGCGGTGCGCTGGGTTGCTGGGAAAAGAAACACATGTCGACACAACGCCGAAATAGGGCGACGACGACGCCGAAATAAAATGGTCGGGGCGGAGAGGGCGGTGCGTGGTCGGGGCGGAGGGGGCAGCGCGCTGGGCTGGCGAGGAAGAGGGACGAGGGGGGGGGGGGCTGAACGACGACGCCGAACGTAAAGTCAGTCGGGTGCGGAGGGGGCGCGTGCGCTGGGGTGCTGGGGAGCGACACGTAGCGACACATGTCGACACAACGCCGAAATAGGGCGACAACGACGCCGAAATAAAGTGGTCGGGGCGGAGAGGGCGGTGCGCTGGGCTGCTGGGGAAAGCGACACATGTCGACACAACGCCGAAATAGGGCGACGACGACGCCGAAATAAAGTGGTCGGGGCGGAGAGGGCGGTGCGCTGGGCTGCTGGGGAGCGCGACGACGTGCCGAAATAAAGTGCTGGGCTGCTGAGGAGAGGGAGAGGGGGGGGGGCGACGACGACGCCGAAATAAAGTCGTCGGGGCGGAGGGGGCGTTGCGCTGCGGGGAGCGACTGGCCGAAATAAAGTGGTCGGGGCGGAGCTGGGCTGAGGAGAAGGAGAGGGGGGGGAGCGACACGACGCCGAAATAAAGTCGTCGGGGCGGAGGGGGCGGTGCGCTGGGGTGCTGGGGAGCGACACATAGCGACACATGTCGACACAACGCCGAAATAAAGTGGTCGGGGCGGAGGGGGCAGCGCGCTGGGCTGCTGAGGAGAGGGAGAGGGGGGGGGGGCGACGACGACGCCGAAATAAAGTCGTCGGGGCGGAGGGGGCGGTGCGCTGGGGTGCTGGGGAGCGACACATAGCGACACATGTCGACACAACGCCGAAATAAAGTGGTCGGGGTGGAGGGGGCAGCGCGCTGGGCTGCTGAGGAGAGGGAGAGGGGGGGGGGGCGACGACGACGCCGAAATAAAGTCGTCGGGGCGGAGGGGGCGGTGCGCTGGGGTGCTGGGGAGCGACACATAGCGACACATGTCGACACATACGACATATAGAGACATATATCGACACACACACACACACATATCGACGCATAGCGACACACAGCGACACATAGCGACGCACACATGGAGACGCATAGCGACACACAGCGACACATATAGCGGCACATGAAGGGCACAAGGCACACATCGACACATATAGCGACACATGAAGGGCACAAGGCAGCTGGGGGGGAGCGACGACGACGCCGAAATAAAGTGGTCGGAGCTCTAGACACCCTGTGCAAGAGAATAAGCCAATGCATGGGCCTAAAAAGAAGGACCATGGAGAAAAGTTGTATCCCAACATGCCTGGTGAGCCTTGGGGTTGCACTGGTCCTGCTCCTCCTCCTCCTCCTCCTTCTGCCCCTCCTCCTCCTCCTCCTCCTCCTCCTCCTCATTCTCACCGTTACCGTTACCGGCAGCGTCATCGTCATCGTCGTTATAATCGTAAACATCCAGCATCAACATCCGCATCAACATCAACATAAACATCATCCTCATCACCACCATCTTCAATACCACCATCGCCATCACCATCAACCGTCATCATCATCACCGCCACCATCAACATCATCATCAATATCGTCATCATCAACATCATCATCATCATCATCATCATCTCCCACATCGCGATCCTCCGCATACGTCCTCCTCCTTCTGAGCTCTTCATGCGCAGTCTCCCCATCAACACCATCACCAGCATCACCATATGATCACCACCATCATCATCGCCACCATGATCATCATCATCGTCATCATCATCAGATCACGACCATCATCACCATCACCATCACCATCATGATCACCATCAGCATTATCATCACCACCATCACCATCATCATCACCATCACCATTACCATCACCATCATCATCATCATCAGCATCATCATCAGCATCAGCATCAGCATCAGCATCAGCATCAGCATCAGCATCAGCATCAGCATCAGCATCAGCATCAGCATCAGCATCATCATCAGCATCATCATCATCATCATCATCATCATCATCATCGTCTTCCACATCGCACGCCTCCTCGGGCGGTTCGCGGGGCCCCCTCTTCCTCCCTCCCCCCTCGCGGCGGACGGCGCGAGCCCGAGTGATCCGAGAGCGCGCCGTCGTGGTACACCCAAATCCTTAGGGGGCTGGGAGCAAGGGGGGAGAGGAAGAGCAGAGAGTTTTTCTTGCTGGGGTGTTTTGCGCTCCGCTCGGGATCCATCGAGCGACGGGGGAGCAGAGGTGCGGCAGGGGGAGAATAGAGCGGGAGAGGAGGGGGGGGGGGACGGGGAGCGAGAGTGGACAGGCAGAGCGGCGGGGGGTTGGGGCGGAGGAGAGGACGGACCAGGACACGGAGGGGAGAAGGCTGGCGGTGGCGATGGGGGAACGACGAGGAGGGGGGGTCCCCAGAAGAGGGGGCGGAGAGGAGCCAAGGGAGGGGCGGGAAGGAGGGAGGGAAGGGGATGGGGGGCGGCGCGGTGGGATTGTGAACACCTTTTCCAAGCTCTCTCAAGCCCATTGCCTCCTCATCCTTCCTGCGTTCCCTCCTCGAGGAAGGGGGGGCGAGTAGGAAGAGGCGGAGGAGGAGGAGGAGGAGAAAGAAGGGCCGCATGAGATTCGCAACTTGATCGAAGTGGTTTATAGTAGGCAGGCTCAGATTGAGACGGGTACTGGCCTTCTGGAGTTTCAGCTGACAGCGCTGGTGAGGCCGGAGCAGGCCTTAAGACGGACCAAGAGGCCTCTAAGATGACCCCAAAGGCCATCAAGAGGGCCTCAAGAGGGGCCCAAGAAAGGTGTACAAGGTGGTACTCGCTAGAGCCCTGGGAGCCCACCAACAAAAACATGGCCCCAAACATCCTTAGCATGCCCCCAAGCAGCCCCCACAGGGGCCACCCAAAGCCCTCGGAAGCTGTCAAAACGCTCCCACGAGGCTACCCCGGAGGCATCCAAGAGGCCCCCAAGAAAACCCCGCAGCAGACGTGGAGGAATATGAAGACAAATTAACAACTACACGCGAGAGGCGGCAGGCAACATATACATCGTTCGCCGCACATATCCTCCTCTCGGGGTCGGCGGGACGTCGCAGGCCTCTTCGCGCGGGGTGTGCCTTGGATGCCCAGGTTTAAGCCTTTAGAGCGGTGCACGGCTAACATCCACGTACACCGATCATTAAGAAGCATGGCCGGCAGTGCAAAGGATGCAGTGCAGAGGTACCCCTATGTTACTCTCATCGTACTTAAGGACCACATCACAGAAACGACTTCGATCACCCAGAAAAGTGTCGAAACAGTGTCGAACGAGCATCGCCTCCCAGGGCCCGACACGTGAAAATCCTCAAGCTTCGGTACTCTTCGTGGTGCTCGAACTTCTTCCTGACGGCCAAGGCTAAAGTAGGTTGGAACATCATAAGGGTACCCTTGGACAACTGCCTATCCCGAGTATGCACTTCGGCTGTGCAGCCGAGGTGAGCCAACGACGGATCACCTAAGAAGCCAGGGCCAACTTTCTGGCATATCTCCACGTGCAGCCCTGAGGATTCGCAGGGGACTAGGAGACATGGCCAGCTTCATGCAGACTGCACAAGAAACGCTGAGCCAAGGCGAGGAGAGGAGACCTCTTAGAGAACGGCGAGGCTGTGGGGAACGATGGCGGCGATGTTGACGTCTATCATGGTGCTGATCTCGATGCTGGCAGTCATTATGACGACCCTGACGATGCTGCTGATGATGCTGTTGTTGATGATGACGATGGTGACGGGGATGGTGCATGTGCATATGACATACTTTACGGTGCGGGTGTCGGGTGATACACTGATGCCTAGTATCACGAGGAGTGTGACGACGATGATGCCAATGACGACTGCGAGCTCAAACTGATGGCGATGCTATTGCCAGTGATTATGGGGATGCTGAGATCTGGGACGACGGTGATGAGGATGACGATGAGGAGTTGGAGGAGGCTGTCGAGGAGGCGAGGGTGCAGACGCGACGGGGCGTGAGCCCTGATCGAGCCCCGATCGACAGGTCAGGGCCCGCTGAGCCCAGGTCGTCCTCTCCGCTGGCACGCTCCAGGGCCCCTCGCCGCCGCCGAGCACCCTGCGGAGGCAGATGCAGGCGACGAGCACGAGGGCGAGGCACCCGACGCACCCGCCCGCGGCCGCCAGCTTCCGCACGGGTGGGCCCCTGGATCTCGGGGCGGGGGAGGCCACGGCGATGACCGTGATCTGTGCCGCCGCAGCGGATGCTGCCCCCGCCGCCCCCCTCGATCTTCCCACCCCCTCCTCGCTCCCGCCTCCCTCCCCCCTCCTCTCCCCTCCCCCCCCCCTCTCCACACAAACACATGAGCTCCACACTGCGCATCCTCAGCCGCCATGCGATCCGAAGAGTCGCCAGGCAAGCCAGCAGCGACCCACGAGCCCTCTCCTCTCCCCCGTCCTCCCCCCTCTTGCTCCCTCCTCTCTCTCTCGCACCCCCCTCTCCCGTGCCTCGCTTTCCCCTACGCCCATCCTCCGCCCCTCCTTCTCGCCCGCTTCTCCTCGCCACACTACCAGACATGGCGGCAGGACTGCCGCGGCGTCTCGATTGGGACTTGCTCACGCGTATCTGTGCGTGGAGCTTCGCGCCTCGAACGACTTCTGCGGTCGGAGGGCGGGCCGCGCAACCGAATCCCTGCATGGATCTTCACGACCACGTGCTGGAGTGCTCTCGAGCTCTAGCCTCTCCTGGCTTAGGCAAGCCCTGGGCAGCCCGCGAGGCCCTCCCCCCCGAGACGGGCCCATGACGCCTAAGAAGCCCCCGGCAGGGCCCCGAGGCGGCCCACGGGGGCACCAAGATGGTCCAAGAGGTCCTACAGTCGGGGCGTTGACCTAAGGAACCCTAAATAAGGAACGAGGCGCCTTTTTCCCACAAGTTCAACTGCGATTTCCCATCGAAGACCGAAGGAATACCTAAGGCAGGATGGGGAACAATTAAGGAACACGGAGCCCCTCCCCAACGAAAAGGGTTCCTTCTTCAGCGCCCCGGCTGTAAAAGGCACGCAGGAAGGCCCTCAAGAGGGGCACATGACGGGCCTGACACTGCCCAATCGGGCGCCGCATCGGCCCAAGAGGCCAGAGGGTCGAAACTCGCAGGGGCCCCGGGAGCTCTCCCCCACAAGCTGGCACCCAAGACCTCCAACACGGCCCAGCCCAGAGAGGCTCCCGAGAAGCTCCCAAAGAGCCCTCCCGAGGCCCCCAGGAGCATGGACAAGGCTCCCCGGCCGCCCTGTCCCCTGCATCGAGGCGCCCCTGGGGCTCTGCATGGAAGTGCGTCTGCAGTGCAGAGCGAGCGCCTCGCTCGAGAGATCCCCCCGGTCCGCCAGCAACCGGGCGCGTGTCCTGCACGCCCTGGAGCTTTTTTTTTGGATTCAGGCAAGTTTACTTGCATGGCGTTCGCCCCCCCCGCCCCCCCCCCCCCCCCCCCCCCCCCTCGCCCCTCTTTCAAGCGAATACTAGCGGCAAGTGCCTCTCGACTTGCGTGATTTCCGCGCCCCCCCCCCCCGGGCTTGCTTCAGGCTCAGCCCCCCCCCCCGTCCATGCAAGTAAACTTTCGGTGTTGGTGGTAATATTTCGGTCACCTGGAAGCCAGAATATTACCACCATCACCGAGCTCGGGATCTTCTTCCCTCGGTGGAGGCACACCGCCGAGATTGGTGTTGGTGTCAATCTCTAGGCCTCCGAAAGAGGGGGGTCGAGCTGGCGCCTCGCTCGAGACAGCCTCGCGGGCTGCTCCCTGGGCGGCGCCTCCTCGGCGCGCTGCCGCCGGCGCCTCGCCCGGGAGAGCCTCACAATTAGGGGGAAAACAAACCTACCTCGCTTTTGACCACCCTCGCTTCCAAGAAACAGGGGGACGCAAGACCTGGGTACAGGGGACTCGGAAATCCCCGACGAGGTCGTCAAAAAAATGACGAGGCCGAGCCTGCATTTTGACGAGGCCTCCCGCTGCAGACATCCAACGAAACTCCTCCTCGTCAAAATCCGAGGCGCGTCGTCAAAAAACGATGGCGAACCCGAGTCCTGGCAAACCCGGGTCTTACGCTCCCCCGAAAGAAATACCAAACGATGCCAAATCGCAGCCTATACTGGTCAGGCCGCTTGACGAGGAGGCGCGTGGTATGGCTTGGTTTTGCCTGGAAGCGAAAGCGGGGTAGGTAATTCACGCTCTGACACCATCTGCTCCCCGGCGGGCTTCCCTGCCGGGCTGCTCCAGCCGGCGCCTCGCTCACGACACGGGGATCTGCTCCGAAAGCAAAAGGGCGGGCTGGCCAAAACGGGCGCGCCGCTCGAGGCATCCCAGCGCGCGGGGCGCGAACCGGCCCTGGCGGCTCCCCCTTGGGGCACTCAAGCCAGCGCCTCGCCTGAGAACGCCGCACAATCTGTGCTGAAAACAAACAAGTCGGGGCCACCAAACCAGCAGACCGCTGGAGACATCCCCACAATCTGCTTTGAGAGTAACGGAGTCTGGGCTACAAGACAAAGAATTTGCCTGAGACATTCTCATTACATCTGCTCTGAGCAGAGAAAAATAATCCCGGCAACCAGCCAGGCACACCGCCTGAGACATCCCACCATCTGGGCGCGAATAGTGGAGTGTCCCCACCCCCTGGCGGCTCCCCATCGGGCTGCCCAAGTGTCACGCAGGCTATATCGAGGTGAGCATTGGGCCACCAACCAAAAACATAATGGGGGATCGAAACATGCAAACCGCCTGAGGCATCCCCACAATCTGGGCGCGGAGAACGGAAAATCCCCACCCTTGGCGGCTCCCAACCCCATTGGGATGCCCAAGTGCCATGCCTGCCATACCTTAAGTGCGTGAGTTTGATTGCGAGTGAGTTTGAATAGGAGTGAGTCTGAGTATGAGTGAGTCTTAGTGTCAATGAGTTTTGGAACATCTGATGAGAATGCAATGGTAAGCCTGCGTACGAATGGTATGAGTGCGAGTGAGTCTGAGTATGGGGGGAATATTGATGTAAGTGCGTCTGAATATAAATGGTCTTAGTATGTCTAAGTCTGAAAAGATTTGAGTGTGCGCGACAGGCCCGAATGAGCGGAGGGGAAACAGGAAATGCACAACAGAAGGAAAAGGGAGGAATGACGTGAGTGAGTGGGACGACGGAAGCGTCACAAGAGTAAAACAACCATCTCACGATATCTGTACCATAAGAGCACGTTTCAATCCATGGGTGGAAATACATCGAGACTGGGCCCCTAGGACCCAACTTTCTGTAGCATTTTTCGAGCGACGTCGATCTGTGATGGCCTTGGGGGCCCGAAACCGGGCGAAAACGCCTGGAGTAAAAAAGGCCAGTGGTCGTAGTAGTCGTAGTAGTCGCAGTAGTCGTCGTAGTAGTAGTAGTAGTAGTAGTAGTAGTAGTAGTAGTAGTAGTAGCAGTAGTAGTAGTAGTAGTTGTAGTAGTAGTAGTAGTAGTAGTAGTAGTAGTAGTAGTCGTAGTAGTAGTCGTAGTAGTAGTCGTAGTAGTCGTAGTAGTCGTAGTAGTAGTAGTAGTAGTAGTAGTAGTAGCAGCAGTAGTAGTAGTAGTAGTAGTAGTAGTAGTAGTAGTAGTAGTAGTAGCAGTCGTAGTAAAAGGAGTAGTAACAGTAGTAACAGTAGTAGTAGTAGTAGTAGTAGTAGTAGTAGTAGTAGTAGTAGTAGTAGTAGTAGGGGTGCACATGGTCTTCGTGTCGTTACAAACCTCACCTTCGTGTACTCTTCTTCTTGTGTATCAGGCCTAATAGAACTCCTACAAGGGGAATTACGAAAACCGTAGTTTCAAAACTGGCCTTCGTGTCTTTCGCGCCAATGCCTACCTTCGTGCACTAGTCGCTGTAGAGGCTGTAGATTGGATTCGCATTAGAAAGCAAACAAAAACGGCAGTTTTACACCTGTCCTTCGTGTCGACGTCGGATTTGGAGCAACCGCCACTGCCAGCCGCTTCATTTCGGCACAACCCTCTCAAGGATCGTGGGCCTGGCCCTCCGACGCGCGATTCCGGCGCGCACTTCACTAGGATCGTGGCCCTGGTCCAATTGGGCGCTGCCGAAGGCCCACCGACGTCCAATTCCGGCACGCCGCTCACGAGGATCGTGTCCTGGCCCACCTGGAAGCGCTGCCGACGGCCCACCGATGAGCAATATCGGCGCACCCCTCACACGGATCGTAGACCTCGCCACATTTGGATCGCCGCCCGACGCTGAAGTTCGGCACGCCTCTCACATGGATCGTGGCCCTGGCCGACTGTGGAGCGCTGCCGACGGCCCACCGACGCCCAATGCGGGAACACCCCTCACGAGGATCGTGGCCCTCTGGTCCACTTGAGAGTGGGTTTTCATAAAGACGTCGTTCTGGTTTTATTCGGGAGCGCATTCTGGTTTATTCGTTTCGGGTTCGTGATGGTTAGGAGGAAGAGGAGGAAGAGGAGGAAGAGGAGGAGGAGGAGGAGGAGGAGGAGGAAGAAGAGGGGGAGGAGGATGAGGAGGGGGAGGAGGAGGATGAGGAACAGGAAAGCGAGCAGGAAAAGAGGAACGCTGTTTTCTCGTCTTCCACAATGGGTTTTCAAACCTCACCTTCGTGTACTATTTGCTCTACAGCCCCTGTATTGTTTTCTTATGAGCGATCGGCGAAATTGTGGGTTCCGAACCCCTTCTTCGTGTACTATTGGAATCCGTGGGCTTCTGGACCTCATCTTCGTGTACTACTAGGTCTATAGCCCGTGTATTGTTTTCCTATCAGCGAATGGCGAAATTGTGGGTTTCCGAACTTCTGCTTCGTGTACGATGAAAATCCGACTATTCTATGTTATTCTAATTGGTTTTATATGACTGTGTAGAACCCGAACCCGAACCCGAACCCGAACCCGAACCCTTACCTTTACCCTTACCCATTCATTCTTAGTAGACACGAAGGTGAAGTTTGACTCTAGTAGTAGTAATAGTAGTAGTAGTAGTAGTAGTAGTAGTAGTAGTAGTAGTAGTAGTAGTAGTAGCAGTAGTAGTAGTAGTAGTAGTAGTCGCAGCCCGCAGCAGCAGGAGTAGTAGTAGTAGTCGTAGTAGTAGTAGTAGTTAGTAGTAGAGTAAGTAGTAGTAGTAGTAGTAGTAGTCCAGTAGTAGTAGTAGTCGTAGAGTAGTAGTAGTATAGTAGTAGTAGTAGTAGTAGTAGTAGTAGTAGTATAGTAGTCGTAGTCGTAGTAGTAGTAGTAGCAGAGCCCCATCAGCCCAATGTTGTGGGCATTTCCCGAGCCGGGCCGAGCGCATAGTTTACACACTGTGCGCTTCGCGCGACGGGAGCCAAACTGCAGCGCCAAATCTCAGACCGCGGAGGCCCCGGCCACGTTGTAGACCCACCTGCCGTGACCTCGAGTTCCCGTACGTCCGTCCCGCACGGGCCCGGGGACTCCGAGGCCCCGGCCGCCCGAGGTGTCCTCGCGCTTCGAACCCTGCTCCTCCAAGGGACAAAGGGAGGAGAGGTGGAGGAGGAGGCAGGAAAAAAAAAAGAATCCCAGCTTAGATTAGTTTCCCGAGGAGTTTGCGTTAGACTAAAGGGAAGTTTTATATAGATACAGGTTAGTAAACAGAGGAAAGGGTTTCAGGACCCTTTAAAGGAGGAGGAAAACATAGGAGGAGGAAGCATAGGAGGAGGAAGAGGAGGAGAGGAGGAGGAGGAGGAGGAGGAGGATGAGGAGGAAGCGGGGGAGGAAGCAGGAGGAGGAGGAGGAGGAGGAGGAGGAGGAGGAAGAGGAGGAGGAGGAAGCACAGGAGGAGGCGCGAGGACACCTCCAAGTCCCCGAACCCTGCGGCGACCCCGCGCCCCCACCGACTCGCCACCACGGCGTGGCCACCGCGCCGCTAAGGGGGCCCCCGATCCGGGTGCC